TCATACAGCGCCACAGCTCAACTTCAGCATGACGTATAAAGTAGCCGTTGAGTTCCAAATGGAAATTAAAATAATTTGCCGTCGCGGTTTCGGTTCGCAGACGACGCAAATTTTGGTGATTTCACGTTGTTGTTTTGCATAGGACGGCTAAGAAATGTACAAAGTTTCAAAACGCACGTGCTGAGCTATTGTTCTGCCAATTAGATCTCTTGTTTTTCCACGTCCTCGTTGCCGTCGCCGTCGCCGTCGTGGTTTCTTAAGGTCCCTAATGACTTACTTATGCGTGCGCAACCCTCACTACACACCATTCTTCTCCTTCTTATCTGTTCAGCGTCTGTTGCATGGGCTAAAATCTCAGATCGAGATAAAGGAAATTAAAAGTGAGAGAAATGATGAATATTCTAAATAAACTTTCACAGGTTTTGAAGAATACCGCATCATCCGTCGAGCCTCAGAGGGTCAAGGCAAGTATAAATATTCTGCCTTCGATCCGAAAAAGGAAGTTCCTGTGGAGCTTCACATTACCGGAGCATCCGAATCTAGAGATCCCTTGAAAGAAATCCAAGTTATAAATCTGCGCGTCGATGGTGACAAATTTATTACAGGGATAGACGACAATGGAGATTGTGTTGTCAAGAAATGAGCGCACCCTTAAATACTTACTTGAAAATTGTTGATATACTAAGAGAATAGCTGAATTGTAACAGTTAATAACTCGCTTTCATAGTATCCGATACCACATACTGCGGACGAGATTCTTTAGTCAAGTTATTTTACGAAAGTCTGAGTAGTTATTCCGACTAAATTTCTATGACAACCCCTAAAGATTAAAGGTCAATGAAATAGTGATTAACGAGCCTAGGGACGCACGTGTCACAGAAATATCAAAGAAAAATCAGGCTGTAATAGAAAAAAAAAATTTAAAAAGCTGCATAAAGACTCGGCTTTTCTAGTACCCAGACCTCCCACGTTCAAGCGGTTTTAGTTACAGATACACGGTAGGACCTGGGTACGAGATAAGACTTGACCTAACCTGATGTGCGTTTCTCCGCCCGAGGGAAGATTTGAGACGAGTCGGGGAAAAGCATGCAGGGGATTTGGCCCTAATTATCAGTACTTAGCATTCGCCAGACCTCTCGCAGGCTCGTGTTACTCTAGGCCTCATACTTACCGCGGGCGAAGAAACTTCCGTGCCGAAGCTCTAAGGTCAGATTTCACTACTCCCTCAAAAAGCAGAACAAATCGCTAAAGAAGATTTACGTCACTTTCTTTGTGAACTAGGCAGCTACAACAATATTATTCATTTCCGTTACCAAGTATATGTTGACATAAAGATTATCATAAATTATAACATAATGAAAATAGTGCGCATCGTCTGATTGGTGAATTCGGTTTTCAAGTGGATGCTTTATCAGGTTATGGAGCGATAGAACGCAGGTTATTAGGTTATAGAGCAATACAACGCATTTTTTTTCGGGCTCTTATAACGTGATAAACTCTCTTGAGATGTTAGGAGAACACGAGGACAGTTTATAAATCCCTCGCCTTCGGATCGTGATTTGTAAGCTTTCCTCGTATTCTCGCAGTATCCCGCGTGGCTTTATCCCGGAGAAACGTGTTCTATTGCTTAAAAGTATCTTCATGAAGGTCAGAAAATCTCTAGTGCCCCATGAAGGCGCGGCGAAGAGTAACAAAAATTCAAAGAAAAACTTTTTCAATGTAAAAATACAGTATATTAGTTACGAAAGATAACTTCTGAATAAAAACAACAAATTCTTGAAGCTGAAATCATAAGAAATGTATGACAGAGAATGCAGATAATTAATTAGATCAAGAGGCGACGATTGTTAAAAGTTCAAAGATTATTAGCGAAAACAAGAGAACATTCATTTTTGCTGCCTAATGGTGTAAGTTTAAATTTGCAATTGTATCAAATTACTTAACAAATTTCTGGGGATGTCTTCGTTGTAAATAACCTCTATTTTCAGTTTTCACTGTTTCAACCGCTGAAGAACGTCTCCTTCATGTCTGTTTCTTCACGACCATTGCGTGACATCCCAAAGTGCAGTTGCCAAGGGAACCGCACGGACGAGAGCCAGTTTTGAACACGTAGTCTTCCATTTGCCCATAGTATAGACAAAGAGAATATTCTCAAGAGTTACGATCACCCGCCTGGCCAACCTCGTTCCCAGGGCCTTTTCCCACCCCCAGCTCCACCCCCGACTAAGGGAAAAGGCCCTGGGAACGAGATTGTCGCCTGGCGATCGTAAGGGGGGCAGGAGCCGTTAATTCTCAGTCTCAAATTCAAATCTAGTCATCGTGTTTACCAATTATAGAAGACCCACGTGTTCACTACAGTGATGTATGCTCCTTTGACGTCGACAGGAGCCCACTCCTGACCTCGACCCTTAGAAAAGGCAAATGATCAAAAAGTTGAAGTCACTCTATTTATCGTGAGAGAAATGATTTGAAGTTCGATTCCAAGGATAATCACGATAAAAATAACAACAACCACAATTATTTCATTAACGGAAATTCTACCTATGCGTCAGTCATTAGAAAGGAACGTCGCTGCCGCATTGAGGTGGGAAGTCTCGGTACGACACTTGTAGTAGGGAGGTAACTCGTTTTCAGTCTCTAAATTCTAAATCCTCGTCTTCTACAGTATACGTGTGTCCAAGATAAGACTCTCTCTTGGTATTACATTTCGTTGGGATTCGACCTGGTGTGCCGACACCTAATAATGGCAAGAGAAAATAAGGTCTCCTCGCAATCAAGGCATAAAGACTATATATAGAAATTAAAGGTAGATAGATAGATAGTTTATTTGAAAAACACTGCAACCAAAGCTTGAATTACGCATTCATTTACAATATTAAGAAATATATAAGAAATGGTAACATACTTCTAAAATATTAAAAATTAGGTAACTTACAATAAGGTCAGCTTATGCAAAGCGTGCGTGAATGATGAAAGATAAAACTATGACGTCACCTGTTCGTACGGACCACAGGTAAATTGAAAGCGCGCTTTTTCCTTAAGTCCACTCTGGATACATTCCTGGGCGGCAGGAGCTTATGCAGCTTGTGACCTGCTACAAGAACGTTAGAAAAAGCTTGTTGGCAATATTCTCGCGCCGCTCATGCAGCGAGATAAGCCCAGTACACGCTAGCGCCTCGTCATATTCTTTATCAGGGAAAATTATACGTAATGCACGCTTCTGGCATCTTTCTTAATCAACTGATAGATGTTGAGGTAGGTTGCTGTGAAAGAGCGCGGTTGCGTATTCCATAACAGATCTAATACATGTAAGACAGAATAAAACGAGCTCCTTAGACTTGACCTGGGCGCGGTTTAATCAGCGTAGGAAGTATAAAGCCGCTTGTTGACTTTCTTTACTATCTCATCTACATGAGCGTTCCATTTAAGATCAACATTTAAAGGGGTTTAAATGAGGACAGTTCCACCTTATCTGATTACAGCGATGGAGGTTAAGAACGAAAATGCAGATAATGGAACCAGGCTAACAAACGTAGACGTAGTTCCAGTGTTTCAGTCTCCTCACGGAAACCTAGCTTCGTTCAAATTACGGCTGTACGTGACTTTATTTGATTGCATGCCTTGTTGCTTTTCAAAAGAAACGCAACAGTGACCACCTTAATTAAAATGATACAAAATAACTTTACATTTCTGATATTTCAAAATCAAATTATTGGCCACAGATATCATGACAATAACTGGATCCGGAGGTGATTAAAATTATGAGAAGTCTAAAAGATAATTCCTAATCGCTTTATATGAAATCACGGAACTATTTAGTTAGCTAATTTACACGATGTTACCCGACGGGAAAAATGTTTCATCCCTTTGAGATCTTTAGGGAGGGATCGCCTGGTCGCAAGCAGGGGTTAGTTCCCTTTGGGATACCCTGCAAGCAAGCCCTCACTTTTAGTGCTGCAGGACTCGCATTTCTCCGCCTTAGAAAGATTTGAGACGAGTCGGGAAGAAGCTGCCGGGAGTCTGGGACTGATTTCAGTGCCAGACCCCTTGGCGGACTTCTCGCCGATTCGTCTCGCACCAGGCTTCATAATTTCCTACCGGCGAAGTAGCACTCGCGCCGAAGCGCATATAATGGAACGAACCACTGCTAGCGTCCAAGCGACCCCTTTAGGTATGGATACTCCAAAATCAAGTTTCCGAGTAAAGACTGGAACATAAACCGAAAAATAATTTATTCAGTTCCAGTCCATACTCGGAAACTTAATTTAGGAGTATTCATTTAGTAACAACCCTACCTAAAGGTCCCAAAGGATAAATGTCGGTAAAATTGAACCCATGTATCAAAGGCTCAGTCGTAAAATGTTACACAAGCTGAGCTAAACTACTTCAGTATCCAACGATTTTAACACGACAGTTTAAGCGTATATCCATGACAAAATAATTAGGACTCCTGATTTCCTGATCTGTGATCAGATCTTCACAACGCAATCTCCGCCATTTCTGATCCCAGTAATATAGACCTTGTTTCCATCGGCGCGCGTCACGATCTCCAACGTGCGGTATTCCTTCAGAGGGTCTTTCCTCTCGTCTCCGCCTTCCAAATGAAATATCCTCGGAGGGGCGTCGTTATCGTCAGTGGCACGGACAGCGTATTTGTAAACGCTTCCGTCTTTTTGGGAACGTGTAATCATGTACTCTTTGAATTCTAGACCTGAAAAAGAGACGACTTTTGTTTAACTCTTCTATCCGCAGACAGAGCTGAATAACGTATACGCATGCGGTAGGTTTTGCCGCGGAAACACGGATTTTGAGTCGTTCGCATAGTTGATTTCCTATTCTGTTACTTGGAGGCGTCGTTTTCCTTGCCGCTTTTCTTTTACAGTACAACCTCCAACAACGTACACCCCCTAAAAATTTTCAAAAATTGATATTCTCCTTAAAATCTCTGGAAATAGGAAAATGCCTTCCAAGAAAACAGAGTTCCTCGGTTTTAAATGTCAGCCCTTATTATTTTCCGCTAATTTTGCTAAATTTTAGACCTAGGACACTTGAGCCAGCCTTGTTGACCGCATACCCTCTGACGTAGCATTTCATTATTCAGCTCTGTCCTATCCGCAGGGTGATTAGTGTCTAACTTCTCCCCACAGCATCGCCGCTGGATCAAACATAATGGTCATGAGAATAGAGGAAATGACCATCTCTCAAAGAATCTCTGGACTATTAAACAAATTCTACTTTTCGGTAACAGTATAATGAATATGCATATTCCTTTTAAGGCTCCCTTCTTTAAGGTTCACTAGACCACAACTCACCAGGCCTTGCACGTTGCACGTTGCCGAGAAGTATTCAGCCATAACATCATAACATAATGCGCGTTCATTATCAACCCTTCGGGACGAGCGTGTCTTCACCCGCGGGAAAGTATGAGACCTTGAACAACACTAGCCGGCGAGAGGCCTGGAAGAGGTCTTATTATTAGTGCCAGACCCCGGTAAACATCTTCCCAACTCGTCTCCAATCTTTCCGCGGGCGGAGAAAAACCCACGTTCTTCTGCGCTATTTAAAATGAGGGTCAGTTCGCACGCTAGCGTTTTGCGTGTTGTTTTGATTCTTTGTAGGCTGCGAACCGTAGAGTTGTAAATTTCAAAAAGTGATAAAGACAGGATATGTCAGCTTTGCCAACAGCTTAGGTTAAAATATTTCAAAGAAATTTTTTCAATAATTACAGTCTTACAAATACCATTCATTTACTTCTTCACCCTAAACCTTAAACATTGGTATCTATGGTCAAGGTTCATCAGAAAATGGGCGCGAAATTCTGAGAAAAGGTTGACATGTAATGAGACCACGGTGCTTGATTGGTTCACAAAAAGGCGCGAAATTCAGAGAAAAGGTTGACATGTGATGACACCTCGGTCTTTGATTGGTTCATTAAAAGGCGCAGAATTCAGAGAACAGCTTAACATGCGGTGACACCGCTGACGTTTTCAGTTGTTGTTGTTTTTATTTTAACGTCGACCATTTTCTTACCATCACTTGAAGAATTCTCCACTTCCTGCCAGTGCGTGCTTGAAAGATTGTTGATTAGACTCATTTTTGTTTCTGCTTGACAGCCTGCAAGGATATAAAATCATCAAAAATGGTTAAAAAGCTTAGAAGGGCCCTCGGGCGGCCATAAGAACCTCATACTCCTAGATTTTCAGAAGTGGATTAAATACGAAAATTCGAAACTAAAATGAACTGCGATGCAATCGAGAATTTTGTAAGACCCACAATTTTTGAAAGTATTATTTGCCATCCCTCTTAGAATTTCCCTGAGGGCACTTAGCCTACCTCGTTCCCAGGGCCTTTTCCCTTATTTGGGAAAAGGCCTTGGGATGGGAACGAGGTTGGCATTTACGGAATACCTTGTTTCAGGGAGGCAATGTGGTCGAGTGGTTAGGGATCCGTCGTTATTTTTCGCCGGGGGGGGGTTGGAGGGTGGAGGACTATTGGGGATATTACGTAGTTTTCAGGGGGGGAGGTGGATGGGGAATTAAACGTCGCCAACAAAGAGGGGATTATAGAAAATTGACTATCCATTATATGCCAGTGCGAGGGGGTCATAACAATATTAGAGCCTTCTCGGTTACCCCGAGTTCAATGCCTTGGATGTGCTTTGCATTTAGCTATCCGGTCTGTCTCCTACTGGTTGGGATTTTCTATTTACAATGTATGTTTCTACTTTGAATATTTTCAATTTGTCACATAGTTTGCAAGATGCTTTTGATCGTATCTATATTTTAATGTGCGCCATATGAATATTCATCATTATTAATCATTTTTTTATCGTGGATCATTTTGGGCGCTGTCTGGACGAAATTTCATTGTTTTTTATCATCAAGTTGAACTCGAAGTCTTGTAGTAATCGAGGGTGTTTCTGGAGCAGACAGCTGACCTAAAAGCCCGTGGACCCAAAATAAAAACACCTGTTTTTCAGAATTTTTGTGCCTGTAGAAAACAAAGTTGCTTTGATTCAAGCGGGAATACAATCGGCCGTTGCTAATCAGATGCTCTCTCGCCATAACACGTCGATAAACGTGTGTCTGGTTTATCAAAGTGTCATTACTAACATTTTTTTCACCTAGTGCGACCCTGATAGTTGAAACCAAAAGTTTGCTTTCCGGTTGCGGTTTCAAATTTTCTGTGTTTTTTTTTGCCGGCAAAGTTGAAAACTTGGCCCAAGTGCGACCCATACCTTACAGAAACAGTTCCCCATAATGACATTACCCCCAGCAGAGACCTAGTTAAAAATCTGTACAAAACCACAAAATGAATACTTGTAACTGTTTTAACACAATTTCGGTTTCCTACGCTTTCATTTTACGGAACAGCAACAAACTAAGCTGTCCCGATAAACTACATCTTTCGCATTTCGTTTAAAAGTTCGCCAAAAACAACGACAAAATTCGATATTTCGCTGTGAATTAACAGTTTCAGTAATTAGAGAAACATTCAGTTTTGATTTAACACAAAGCTCGATTGCAAATGCAATTTTATACCAAAAAGACGCTTGTATTTATGTAGCAAATTATGCTATCGTGCCAACCCTAGCAGAGCGCCAATTCAGTCATGTTAGGACATTTCTGAGAAACAGATGTGAGAACAAATGTGAAACTGGTGTCATTAGCAACAAATAATCAATATGCAAATTGCGATCATTGATAAAAAGTAGTCAGGATTATGCTCTCTTTTTCACGGAGACAAACAACAGATAAATGTTACAAATTTAATCGCGAGTCTCCCTCCAATTTCACTTAATTTTTTTTTGTCTGCTTAGCGAAAATCGATCAGCCCGTATTTAGAAGTGGGCCAAAAGGTCTACGTTACAGCTAATGTGTAAACAAAACAACACATTTCTGCAACAGATAGTTATCTAAGCGTAAAATTATCACAAATTGAACTGGTAGAAGCTAGAACTGAGCGATTATTTGAAATTTTTGAACTTCAAAAATTTCAAGGCCTTTCTTCTCCAAAGGCACGATCTTTCAGCATCGAGATTTGAAACGTTCCCCTGATTTGGTGTCAGTTTTCTAAGAGTTTTGGTAAAGAAGACAGAACCTAGTTCGTCATTAGGATGCAGTTTCATTTCCTTTTTCCAACATAGGCTAGTCCTCGGTTTTTCATTTCAAAATTCATGCTCTCCCTTACAAATTTTTGTCAAACCTCAAAAGAAGCCTTGAAAATTGCGATTTCAACCAAGGTGTTAATTTGCTCGGTGTCGCTCGCAGTGGGGTGTCTTTTTAAGTGTAAATAAACAAATAGAGTTTTAACTGTTTCATAGTGGTGTAAAACATACCTTTGATTTCGTTTTTCTTACCAACTCGTGCCAGTTGGAGTAGCAGAGGCTGGTGAAACTTATTGCTTCTTCGAACTTACCCGGTTTGTTACAATGAGTGTCAAAACAATTGCGATTTTTGAACTTATCTTCTTTGTGTTCCTTGTTTTCGGTTTGTAAATGGTCAAAATAACACATTATACCATATCATTCCCATTGATCTAGGTTATGATACGCGTCAGAAATGGTCTGTTATCGCACCAACCAACAAAAATGTTAATGAAACGGAAATTATGTTGTTGTAAAGCACATTTACACAATTCTGATTTACTAACCGAGACGGTACACAACGGAAGCGCTCTCATTTACACTGAATTCCAGCACACGTTAAGGATGTATTCTCATGCAGTATTTCAATCACTTAGCACTCGATAGATGAAAACAAACCTCACCTGAAGGTTTAAAATACTAAAGGGCCAACCGCACGAACCTCACAGCTGAAGTCTACCAGTCGAATGACGACTGACTCGGGTTTGTAGCTACATATCAATCAACACTTGACAACTATGTCAATCAAATTGCGTCAACTATTGCCCGCTAAAAGTAAAACATTTCCGTTATCAACAAGCGTGGATCCAAACCAAAACAGTTGTTTTGAAACTTTAATTTAATGCTTTCATTTAACTATACAAACGTGTGCATAAAGATAGAAAATGACCAATTATGTGTAAACCCAACTAAGGTAGAAAGCCACAGGTGACAAAATGGTCGGTTTCATTTCTACCGCGATAAACTGACAATATTTACTACACCTCCTGTGGTTTGTTTTCCTTGGTATGGGCGATACGCAGTTGTGAGAGACTTGTTCTAAATTGTCACGATAAATGATTGCTTTCTGCAAGCAATGTACTCCTTTTAGCCCGAGTATTCGAGCAGTTTTCAAATTAATGTCTAAAGTAACCAGGATTTCATTTATTTTTCAGTACTTCGCCCTGTGATTGGTTCAGTTCCCTCCTCTCCACCAAACAGATGCAGAACTTAAACCCGGACGCGGTCCTCTCGTTTTCCCGCCCTTTTGTTTGTGTTCTCATTAGCTTCTTGCACCATTTTTATTCGGAATATTCGCTGTGATTGGTCCTTGTGATTACTTCCAACGAGTGTCGTACAACGGTTTAAAACATCAGAACAGAACAAAGCCGATGCGTTGCTACTCGTTACATAAATGGCGTTTGGTAAAAGCTTAAATCTTTGCGCAAATGCTTGTCATTATTCTTTTGTAGTAATAGTCCACCAAAATTATGCAGCGTCTTTGGTTGCAATTCGCGTGACTACGCCGTCTGGCAGCGAACTGCATTGAAGTTCCTCTTCTGAAATACCATAAATCTATAAAACAAAAAGAAATGAATAAATATCATTATTTCTAAACCCTGGAAAATTACCGCAGAATTTGGAATCAAGACGTACTTATCCTGTTGAAGTCTAAAAAAAATTGATTTCATAATTAACGAATTCAAGGTATTTTTTAAACAGCTATCAAAAATAACTAAAAAAGTACCAAGAAAGGTTTCTTTAACTTAATTATTGTCAACCTTTCTGCCACCATTTTGATGACAAAGACATCTGTTATTCATTATATCAAAAACTAAATTATGCACTCATTTTCACTGGTTCTTACTTATTATCTATTGGGGGACAGAAACATTGGTAACTTCACCATTCACAACATTTTACTTTCTCATCATATATAAAAAAAAACAAAACAAATAGATTTCATCTTGCCATGGGTCTTTACAGTAATAGGTCACAGATGATGTCAATGTGTGTTAACTCCTAGACGTGATCAACATGTAACTTCTCCCGATAATATCCCATACATTATCCAGCAAACAGGTAATGAGAATACTCAGACTTATCAGGTTGAAGTTTTAATCCTGATCTAGAACCAAGTTCTCATAATTAGTTTCAAAAAAAATTGTAGCAGTTACAGGGGAGAATTAACAATCAGATCTTAGGATTTGAAGGTCTAAGAACATCAGGGACACTCCTCTGTGCCTTATGTGCCACTTTTTTGCTCTTACCACATTGTGATGTCATCTGTGCACATACATGGCTACAAGGAATCTATTTGTCAATTTCTTCACTTATCTTTTAATGAGAAAAAACTCAACTAGTTAATTTCTCCAGATTATTCCTTTTGGGTAATCACCTCTGAAACAAGTACAGTATATCTTATAATGAACTACGTCACTTACCTTCTTTATTTTTTCTTGGTCAGAAATTGTACTCAGAGCAGTTAGAGACACTTGTTCCCCATCTATGAATTTGCCAACTTCTGAAATCTGAAAAATAAAACACTGAAACTTGCAGAAGGGTCTTTTTTTTTTTTCAGGGTGGGGAGGGGGTAATCATTCAGCTTTACTGTTTTAGATCGCCCTTAATAAAAACTGATGTTGCAGTAAAGATGCCATTAAGCTGTAAAATGTTACAAAGTTTCCTTAACTAAAAACAAGTATGAGACACCTAGTATAAAACTCGTGCTAACCTTTTCTTTGGCATTTTTCTGGGTCATAATGACAACTAACACACTTGATGTATTGTCCAGTATTCCAAATTTCTTGAAAGATTCATTGATCTAAAAATAATGATATCATGCTTTTCACATAAATTTGATTCATAATCCACTCTTTTCAATAACATGCTCATAACGATAATAAATACATTCAACTTATTCTCTACCATCTTTAATATTAAAGCACTGTTTCCAAGCATGTCAGGATTCCCAAACAGTTTATTTGT